ATTGAGATGATCTACTATAATTTCCAAATTAAATTCTTCTAATAAAAGCTTTGATGACAATAAAGAATCTGAATGTCAGCAATATTGCTTTCGAGATTTTACCATCCACCAATAATAAGTTTGTTGAATAGTTATGTATTTGTATCTATTAATTTGATTTTCACGAATCTGGTGACAAATTTAAGCAGGCGAACAATAAATATTATCCTGGATAAATTTTTTAATTTCTAATGATGTTTCAACATGACTAGGCTGTAAATGTAACATTTTGTGAGAATATTTGATCATAATCAAATCTAATTCAGAAAATATTTCTATTTTTATAGTCCCTTCACAATTGTATCGGTCTAAAAAGGCAGGTGTGTCTCTTTGCTTGTCTAGAATTGGATGTTTAGCTTGACATTTTCCAAGTTCTATTCGACAATTACAATAATATATAAGAAGCAAAGAAGTTTTTTTTTTATTTTTATCATTGTAAACCCAAGAGTATCCATCACCCTCTGAAATAGATGCAATTATGCAACGACCAATTTCAAAGTCAAGGTTTTCTTTATTTGACAATCCAGACCCATCTTTTTCCAAGATAAAGTCTTGAAATGTTGAAAATTCAATATTAAAGTTCATGCTTAACGCCTCATTTTCTCCTTCATAAAAATCGTTGGTATTATTTAAAGAAATTAAGGAGTTATATACAATTTCGGTGATATTCATATGGCTAATTATTGGTCCTTGTAATTTATTTTTCAAATAAGCTATTTTAAGGTTATTTCGACATTTTGAATACTTCGTTAAAGCATCACCTTTTTCATTTAAAAATTCTTCAGAGCTTTTCGTTACGTGACATCCTATACAATTTTTATTTGGTGAATTCGACATAGTAAATTTATAAAATTAAAGCGAAGGTCTAGTCTAATAATTATCATAATCAAATCATTATCATTATTGTTTACTACAGTATCATCATTACAAATATAATACCGGCAATCAGTATCCGAAATCACATGCAGGTCAGTAAGAAATCTGGCTACAATTTATTCTAGACGACGCTAGGTTGTTCTATGTAGATATCTTATTTGTGTATGTGCATATATTTCAGGTTTAAAGTCATACCTTGTTTTTTAATTGTATTATTCCTGTTCTTACATGTTTTGACTTCGTATATATCATATGATTTCTATAAAAAAAAAAGTTAACGTGTTTAAATTGGATTTGATACAATATAACAAAGGCAAGCTATGTCTTGTTTTTACTTATACCAGGAACGGAGTGCATTGTTTTATGGTGAGTGAAGTATCTCTACGTTATATATGATCCTAAAAATTTATTTGTCTTTCTGCGATCTGTACTATCATATATCACGTGCCTAGTAATGTACCATTTATATGATACCTATTTTTTTTTTTGCATATATTCCGTACAGTACGTATCTAGCGATTTGATTAGCTGGTATAATGATAGTATATAGTAAATTAGTACAGTACAGAACCGCAAATAGGGGCGGACATGTGAAAATAATGATTGTACGTACGATTTGTAAAAGAAAATATTCTTTTGAAAAAAGCTAATTTTCCTATAACCTTGTAAGAAAAAAGAACAATGACGCACTTGCTCTAACTCTAAACATAAAAATGGTTTACTTAGATTTCCTCGTTCATTTGCAAATTTTCTAAGCAATTTCTACTAAATCAAAATTTTTTCATCTTTTATATTTGAATAATTAGGAAAATTTTGCCCTAATAATTCTTTGATGAAGAAGTTATATTTAATTTCTGTCACATTGCGAAAAAAATTTGCTTTTAACTTTACTTCAACCATTTCCTTAGGTTTGATATTTGTCACCCAAAGAAAGTGACATAATCTCCAACAGCTAGTCCATATTTTCAGCATTGTACATAAATTCATATTCCAGAATTTATTCATTCGTGATTTAATATCCCTTCCCTTTTAAGTATTAGTATTTTTCGCAAATGATGATGTGTTTTTGACTTGTTCTTGATGATATATCTTTAGCATGTTGAAAAATACTTCAGCTAATAAATAAATTAATTTCAATTTCTTTAAGTCTTGAAGTTCGATTAATCTATTACAATTATTGTAATATAAATTCCAAATTTCTAGATATTTAGAGCAGCTTTGAACATCCTCCATTATCTTTGGAAATGGTTCAGGTTCTATTAACACTTCCGAGACTTTATTAAAATATCGGTTGATAGGTTGAGTAAACATTTTAAATATACTTTTTGGGTCTTGAGACGTAAAACTTTCTGGCTTTTCCTTGACTTCTCTTGTTTTTTTCAATAACTTTACATAATCTAATTGTGTAATCAGTAATAGTAAGTTGGTTGTTTAAAAAAATTAATGTAATAAATAATAACATACTTAATAATTTTGATTCAGGATACTTGCTTTTCGTCACTTGTTCTATTTGTCGTTCTTTAAAAATATATTAGTTGATGAGAGCTATAAAAAATTTTAAATTTTTATTGCTTTTCATGTTATAAAACACTGGTAGAGATTGGATCTGAGCAGAAAATTTATTAGCTTTAAAACTAATAAGGAATCTAATTATATAAATCAAGCCACCCAGATCCATTCTCTAACTAGATTTAAACTTAAAAAAAATAGAGTAATTTTAAGTTTCAATCTGAATATATTTGTATGATGTAATTTGAAAAGCAATAAAAAAAAAACTAGCACATTTATCAGAATTAATAGATATAAAATCTTCATTATCTATAATATTTAATTAAAAGTTAGTATACACTGCATCCTTACAATTAAAAATATTAAAATTTAATCACTTTCCTATATTTAATGCACATCTCTTTAGGATACAAATGAAAATTTTACTAAAATTTAATTAAAAGTTATATGTACTATTGTTCGTAATATTTAATTTAAATAGGAAATTATTTACTTACTGAACTGTCTTTATTAACTAGCTCCATATTGAATTCATTTTTTGAGATTTGTTCATGCTCTGTTGTGATTAGACTGTTTTGTTCATCTGAAGTATTATCTTGAAGAGAAATTAAACTTTGAGAACTGTCCAGTTGCGTGAATGATTCCTTTTAATTTGATAAATTTAGTTAAACTTTATTATTAAAATTTCGAAACTTTAATTTTGAATGCTTACTTTAACATCTAATTGGGTTACTGGCACATTCTCTGTCTACTTTTAAAATAACAAATGAATAATATAGAATAGTAAAATTTGCTATCACACTAGAGTTTACCTGACTAGGGATGGGAATCGATTATCGAAAATCGGATATTTTAAAATCGATTTTAATAATCGATTTTGAAACGAAAAATCGATTAATCGGTTATGATAATCGATTTTGTAATTAAAATCAATTTTGGTAAAGTAATCGATTTTAATAAATAAAAACCCAAATTCTTAATATATATTATATATTTTATTTACTATACATATTATATTGTTTTATATTATTTATAATTTTATAAATAAATATTATATTTAATAAGTTACATTTCAATACTAGTATTAAATTAATCTATATAACAGATTAAATCTATTAGAAAATGATAAAATAATATTTATAACATAATATATTTTAATTAAAGATGCCTAATTAACTAAAATAAATCGATTTTAAAAAGTTTATATCGATTAATTAATTTTTTTATCTGATTAATTGATTAATCGGTTAAGTTATCTGATTACAAAATCGATTTTGATTTCAAAATCAATTCCCATCCCTATACCTGACTATTACTATAATATTTATCCATTTCTTTATTTTCTATAACAACAATTGAAAAATTGGCACTTCTCACCCTATTTTTAATCAAGTCATTTGTAGGGCTATCATTATATAGAGTTGATTTTTCTATAATTATATTTTTCTTATAATGATAAGCAAAAATTTTATATATTAAATGATATAAATGATAATTGTCATATATACTATACAAAGGATCCGATAAAGCCTCTCTTTTTTTTATTGCAGTTTTTTTTCTTTAAAAATTTTATATTTTAGCTGTCTTCATTATCAGAATCTGAAGTATCTAGCTGATTTTTATATTTTTTCTTCAATATTTTGATTTTTTTTACGCTTTGATTGTCAAATTTATATATTTTACGTTTTGATTTCTTTAAATTTTTAGTAAAATCAAATTCCTCTTCCTGTCAATTTTTTATTTTATTTTTTTTTTTGACAGTAATCTATATTAATAATTTTATTTTTAAAATTTATTAATTGACTAGTTAAATTCTTACATAATCATTATCTTGAATCAATCCAATATCATCAGCCTGTGTACTATTTTCTGCTAGGGTCGTTTGTTCAAGTATTCCTGAGATAACATTGATCGATGGCTGGCCATTTGGCATAGATTCATCTACATGCTTAAATTTGTGATTTGTCAATGATAAGTTACAGGAAACTTTTAATTTCTCTGAAATTTTTTTTACCTGATAATCAGTAGATAATAATTCGTCGGTTTTCTTGACATTAATTAATGGCTGATTATTGAGCATAGATTCAACTGATTTTCTATTATTTTCAGCTTGCTTAAGTTTGTGATTTGAAATGATAAATTAAAACTTCAGATTAACCTATTTACAGAAATTATCAAATTCTCTCAATAAAAGTTTCTTACCTGATTATCAGTAACGCAGTCATTACCAATTGAAATTTGATTATCGATACTAACTGCTTGAGAAGTATTGACTGTAACATTGATTGATGAATGAGAATAAGCTAATAAGGCATCGGTTTCCTTGTTACTTTTAAAGTCATTATTGACATCAGTAACATTGATTGATGAATTAGAATCAGGTAATAATTTATCAGTTTCTTCTAAGTTATTATTGTTATTATCTCTTTGCTGAGGTTGTGATGATTTGTTAATAATTAATTATGTTAACCATCAATTTAATAAAAAAATAGATATTAAATCATCTATTTCTTAATGTTAACAATTCCTAAAATCTCTTACTTTACTTTTCGTCTTTTCTGAAATTTTAAAATAATCATTTACTGTCCGTTAACCTTCTTCCTCTTCTTCCAAATTTAATATATCATTTTCACTTGCATGGGCATCAGACATGAGCTTATCAACTTGCGATAACCTGTCACTATCTAGATCCTAAGTTTTATTTTAATAGGATTTTAACATTACTATGCAATTAATTAATAAATATGACAGACAGATTAAAATGAAATCAGATTAAAACGAAATTAGATTAAAATAAAATTTTGTATAGTGTAAAATAAAGAAGTCATTGAAAACTCTTTTTTTTTTTAGGGTTAGAGCTAAATAGAAACTTTAAATTTCATTTTAAACCGATTCGTTATGATCTGCGACAATAAAAATATTTTAACATTGAATATATCTTCAGTAGCGATAGATTCTTTTTCCTTCATGCCAGTTAGATCATTGATGATTTTTCGATAAGTTTCTTCAGAAATTAAAACCACCCCAGGTGCGTTCAAGTTTTCAGTATTCTCAGTGCCATCACTTAAGAAAATTGCTGCTAAACATGATTATGTATTAAAAACAATTTCTTTAATTGCTCTATCAGTAGCTTCCCATATAAGATTGATTGAACTTCTAATAATTTCCTTTTTATTTCCTATAGTTTTGACCATTTTTTACAGTAAAAGAGAAAAAAAAATGAAAATCAATGTGTTAATATATTTATCATTTTAAAATGAAATTATTTATATTTACAATTTGACTATGTTCGTATCTTATGAGTTTCTTTTATTAAAAATTTAATAATGGTGATGTTTACTGATATATCTTTTGATTTTTGATAATTTCTTAAATTATGTTGGTTAATACTCTTGGTCATAGATTACGTTAATGCTAATATAAAAATAATCTATTGCATAATCATAACGATTTTTAAATTATGTTGATCATAAAATTTTCTTAAATGAATTTGTCACTTTGAGAGGTGAACAAAAGATACCATCTCAAAAAAACTATAAATTATATTGTTATACTGCTGATTTTACAGAAACAATTTCTCCTATTATAAATAGTAAATTTCCTGAAGAAGATTTTAGACCAATATCAAACCACCAATATTTGCCAAACTAATAAAAAATAATATAATAAAAACTGAGGAAGATGCTAAGTTAGTATTTAATGAATTTGCTGAAAAGCTGATAGAACATTAGCATGAAGTAACCAAAGATTTTTTATCTAACTATATTTTTTCCTTTATTATAAATAATTGTAAATTGAAGGATTTTATTGATAAAATTTGAGAAATACAAGAATTAGATATGCTTAAATTTTTTTATAATATTAGTCATATCTGATGTGGAAATTTGATCATCCATTTTGTTTTAAATGACTAAAGCTATAATCTTTATTTATACTTTTTTTTTAGTCTGACGAAAATAAGAACTAATAAGAGGTATCCATGATTTGAAATCTATATTCAAGAAATATCAATTTAAATTTTTTATTATATACTTTTTATGTCTAATCAAAATTTTAAATAAAATTATTGGAATTAATTATATATTATTTTTTAAAAAAAAAGTTTATAATATTAATAGTTTTAGATGTGTTGGTGTAAATGCGAATTGTTTTCATTAGAGAGTTTCAAAGTTAAAATCAGAGAATCTTTTTTTATTTTTCCGATTTATAAATCAACATGGTAAAAATGCTATTGAAAAAATCCTATTTATTTTCGAAATGCGTCATTATTTGTTAACTTTGAAACCCCAATTTATTGCACTTTCTCAAATAAAGATAAAATTTCAAATTTAATCTTTTGCTTATCACTAACTTTATATCTCTTTTAAAAATTAACTATAAATAATACACTAATCTATAATTTAGGAGGGCGAATAGATTTTACGCAAATCTATTATTCTTTACAATGATAAGAAACTAATTTAAAATCCAATTAAAGCTCCTTAAAAATTGAAATTCAAAAGTTATCATTTTTTTAATATTATTTACCAATTAAATAATAATGATATAGTTGTATAATACAATTATATAACTTGTAAGGTTTCTACTGTATAATTCTAGACTTGATAAATAGATATAGGCAACTATTAATAGTAAAATGATTCAACATTTTTTAATTTAATTAATTAAAAAAATAAATAATATTTATCTCAGAATTGGCTAGAACATAATTTGGTAATAAAAAAAACAATTCACAAATGATCTTGTTGAAGAACGAACTTATTTAAATAGTGTGATGACTGTATACAGACTAAAATTTTATAAAAAATCGCAAAAAATTCAACTCTAACTAGTGATGTGTACAGTATGCAAATTTTTTTTAGAATATTCTAGAACAAATTGTAAAACCATTCATATCTCAAAAGTTTCCTTATGAAACCGCCTTTTGTATTCTAAGTAAGATTACTTCTTGCAAAATCTTGTATATAGATAGTTTATATATCATACGTATACTATACATATTGTATATGCTATACATACTATACGCACTATACGTACTGTATATACTGATGTTAAAAAAATCTGGATATCATATAAATGGCATATCACTAACTCTACTCTAAACCTTTTTAAAAACCAGCTTCATTCTGAAAGAGAAAAAATATTAGCGAAAGTTAGGTAACGATACTATAACCCAAATTGGCTTTATTTATAGCGATAGTCACAACCTTGGTATAATCACACTATTTCCGTCAAAAGAGTTTAAGTAAATCATATGATATTATGTCAATCTTTTAGGATAAAAGATTATCAGTTCTGCAGTTATAATTAGTTTTGTTAAATAGAATTTAAATGCCAAAGTTTTTATGAAAAAACTACATCAAAATTTTCAAAATGTTCTTATCATTAGTTCTTTAAAGATAGCGAAATAACTCATTAGAACTTGTATGATTTTTTACTCTATAAAACAATAGGACTTTAAGATCGATTCTCGGTTGGAAAGCGGTTATTATCTAAGTTTTTTAGAATATTTTAAAAATGAGCACCATGAAGAAAGTGAATTTCTTATAAAGCAATATAAGGTAATAAAAGCTTGTACTGATATTTCTAAAATAGTTTTAATATTCATACTAATTCAAAATTTTAAGTATTATAGAACTGCGTATCGTCAACAAAGATAAAAGTCTGATGGGATGTTATTTCTGGAAATGATGTAGAAGAACTTCAATTAGTTCTTGATACAGCATTAAACTTGAAAGACAATTATTGTCAAATTGAATACTCAGAGATATCTAGTAAATACCACTTGTTATTTATTATGCAGATGATTTATATTTCATTTTTAAATAGGATGAGAAGGTTCCATTATCAAACCGAAAGGATCTTTATAAATTGTTTATAAATCGAATAAATTCAATAGATGATAATAATATTAAATATTTTGAGTAAATAAATTTATTGTTTGATATTGAACGTTTATATATTTATTGATATATATTAACTTTTATATTTTTAGCCCTATTAAAAGTAGCATCATTTGCGTTTACAATCTTGACTCTTGGCTGAAAAAAAAATTATCCAAAGAGGATTTGGACTGTCTGTTAGAAAGATTATCATTTACCATCAATCATCTTAATGATTCATACATTAAGGGTTATATTGATGATATTTTAGCTTGATATACAGATTTGAATACTACACCACTGCAAATCAATTCAAAGATACCAGAAATTTCTCCAGATTGTAGCTTCAGAGCAAAAATACAATGTAAAATATATCAAACCATATTGAATCATATGTGAATAAAAAGCTAGTATTTATTAGATACCATATACAATTTAAACTAATATAAAATTACTTTAACAGAGAGCAATCAATTTGGATGAATTCTTATAAAGCAGATAGAATTAGTGAACAACAATATACAGCTGATACAATATATAGCTTTATTTTTAAAATTTTATTAATTTGTATTATTTTAATCAATTTTATAATCAATTTATAATTTTAGTAGAGAAATAACCTCAGATAGATCTTCAAAGAGAAAACAGATCTATAAATTACTTGAGAAAAAGTATAATTGGTCGTTATTGCGATTTACTTTTGTGTGACTATTATGACTATGTACATTTGGTTGGTAAAGTAAGTGGGCCGCCTTCGAAAAGCCTTCCCAACAAGGAAAGATTTGATCTTGAAAGAAATAATCGCAATGCCAAGGATGAGAAGAGTCTTTGTGAATTGACTATAGTGGCAGAATTTGGACTAATTCTGGACGAATCAAACTTAAATACTTTATTGAACGAAATATTTGTATTTATAATTCAAGTAAAAAGTATGTATTTTCATATTTGAGAAGTTTATAACAATTATTAATTAATATTATATATAGAAAAAACAATAGAAACATTTATACTGGATCATATAATGAATAAAGTCTATCGTTCAAGACTCTTAAATAGAGCAGAAATTTCCTTGGAGAGAAAAACATTGATAAAGTTGGCTTTTTACAATTTTTATTTACTATTTACAAGCTGATCATAAGTAAACATGATATCTTAATCAATTGGAATATTTTACCGATCTATATATATTATTTTGTGTAGATCTTTATTGCTGAAAATTTTAACAAATTAGAAAAATTAATAAATGAACTTTCAAGAAAAAAGCAAGAATGGATAGCCAAAAATGTTAATGTTGATTTTGATATCTTGGAAATAAGTGAAGCTGCCAAAAAACTTGTGCTTTCGCAAACTATTACCACATCACTCCGTTATCATCACTATCAAGTGATAATTTTACTAGTTTTTCAAAAGAATCAATAGTTAACCTACTAGATTTTTTTCTAACTCCAGCGAGGGCCAAGAAAACTTTAAGAGAAATGAATTCTTTATTCTCAAATAAACAAGTTTTTGTCATAGATAATGCTATTCTTCTTACTCTGGAACGTATGCCAATTAGCACTAATAATGACAATTTAATTCCTGACATTCAAATTTAAAAAAAATAGTATTATTATAAGAAGCGCTGTTGATCCAGATAATCTATTATTACTAATTGATTTGAAGCATTAACAGCCCAGATTATAATGAGAAGTCAATAAGTTTCAGGTTGGTAGTACAAATTGTCATGAAAAGTATTATTAGCTTGGATGGACGGAAGCGTTAGCAACCTGGCTCATGATATAAGTATTAACTACTTGAAATCTATTAAACTAAAATGTAAATAAAAAAAACCATCTGAATTGTATTTGCATAATGTGCATTTTTTTTATTTGATATTATTTAAAGCATTTTTGAGAGCATTTAATTGAAATTTAAACTTTGAATCACACTAAATTAGATCAAATTATTGTTAATGATGCAAGTCTCTAGCAAGATTCTATTAATATAAAAAACATTTTAATTGAAGTACTGTATATTCTTGAATTTACTCGTTTTAATGTAAAAAAAATATTAAAGTAGTTGGATTATTCCAAAGTTATGATCATATGATCTAACAGATCCGTGGGCCCACGAAATCATGTGATATAAACTTGTTGGCAAATTTCTAAATGCTTACAAAATTAGTTTGTCTAGCCAAATTAAACTCTCAAAAATTTATTAATAATCTTTAAGTATTAATAAAAAATATTCTTATATTTATATACAATATATTTACAAAGGGTTCGGATCCCATAGCTTAATGGATAAGCTCCCGTCCCCCCACAGACAAGGTC